GGGCTGCCTGTCTAGGGTCCAGGAGAAAGCACCACTAAAGCTATTCATTCTCCCATCTGTGTGCTGGTTAATCCCCACGCACCTCTGCCCAAACTTAACCCAGCCCTGGGCCTCGAGTAAGTGGCAGCAGGTGGTTGTAAGGATGGGGCCGAGCTGGTGAAGGTGGCCTGCAAGGCGAGGCAGGAGACCTGTTTGCCCTGCCAGGAGGGGTGAACCCCACCACGGCACACCACACCCCCCGCACCCCCACCCAGCCCCCATGCTGTCTTGAGGCCTGGCCCACCCAGGCCAAACCACTATCCCACAGGTGGCAGCTGTGGTCGCCGGTCCTTTCTGGGAACCCGTTAGGGGGCACAGCACCGCTTGCTCCACCACCCAGCCACCGCGCTGTCTTGAGGCCTGGCCCACCCAGGCCAAAACCATTCCAAGGAGACACTATTGGCAGGTGGTGGCAGGTGACACGAAATTGTCATCCTTAGGGTAAGCATGTGAGGCTGTAGCTGTTTTGTAGATACATTTTTGTCCTGACAGGGTTGAGGCTCTAAGCATACAGGTTTGATGCAGTTTTCTTGTCCAGGGCTTGTCCCATGGATTGGTGAGTGTATTCTGTTGTGCAGATACTATGTGGCAGTGGCTATCTTTTAAGTAGTTTAGGTGCAGCAGCATAACTTGACCTGTGATATATGGCTTGAGATTCTGCCTTAATTTTTGTGGGACAAAATTTTCAACAAATACAAGTTAAATTAACAAGTGTTTATTCTGGCTCATAGTTTTCATAGGTTTCAGTACATAGTTGTCTGGCTCTAAGGCAATCCAGTGTGGCAGAGAAGCATGGCAAAGGTTTGGTAGTGTAAGACATGGCAGACAAGAACATCAAGCAACAAGCCTGCCTTCCACGTTTCCCTTTTATTTAATCTAGTCTACAAGCGCATTAGTTTGTACCACCTACATCTAGGCTGGGATCTCCATTGTCTACAGGCAGAATTATCCCAAACCAATTTAGTTACCATACACCCTGAATCCAAGTATTATGCACCCTACATCTAGCCAACTCTATAAAGCCTTACCTACTATATGGAAGTTTGAGTGAATGGCAGGGAAAGTTAAGGGCCTTAGTGAGGTTTCTGGCAAGTCCTAACTGGAAAGTATTAAACCCCTGCTAGAAAGAGTAGTTAATAAGCAGCCTGGCTGGGTTTGAAGCCAAGGCCTCAATTACTTGTGCTCCAGTTAAGTACAAAGGACATAGTGTGGAGGGAGCTACATTAAAAAAAAAAAACTCCCTCAGTATATACAATATATACTCACACCTGTACACTCATGGACCCATAAATAAACACATAGATATATTTTATTCTTCTCCCACTATGTTAATGCACTAAAATGTCCACGCATCCCTTTACTTATTGCTAACTTGGCCTTAATCTAAGGCTCTGCTATAAATCTCAGAGATATCACATTGACAAAACAAAAAAGACCAAATGGAGCTTACCCCAAAATGTACACATAGGCAATGAAAAGGGACAGTGGCCAAATCAGGGCCTCAAAGCCTAAAATAGCCAGTGAAGTTATAACAACTTTGAAAGGCAAGAGTCCTTTTCTTGCCATAAAATAAAAGAGGATAAAAACAAAGACCCTCAAGCACCAGTTCCGGGCTCCCTGTCTTACTCTGACAAGGTAGCTGTCTATCTCCTCATTTCTCTCCTCTTTCCAATAAAGTGATTTTGTTGCTCTGTCCAAATTTATACCTGTAATTTTTTATTGATATAAAATTTATGAACCCTAGATAAAATCTGCCCTCACCAGACGTGACACTAAGAGCATGTGAGGCTTTGGGGGGATATGTAAACAAGCCGTAACAGATCTCCTAGCAGGTGAAGTGCCTTTCCTCTGCAATCTTGGACCAAGTTTTCCACACATTCAGCAATGCAACCGCCTATACTACCATCACCATCGCCACCACAACTCATCCCCTAGCCTAGGCTGTCCTGAGTCTTCCCTCACCCAACTGAAAAGAACTCTGAACTGACCCACTTCGCAGCTCTCTCCTTGTACTTTTCTATGTCTCCTAGCCCACCACTGGAGGCTGGAGAGCCCCCAGCTTAAGTGAAGGACCCAGGCTGAGATGGTTTATTTTCCAAGGCATCTGTTCTTTTACAAGGCATTAGGAGTGGATGTATGGACAGGGGAGACACTGAAATAATAGACACGGTGTGGTTTTCACATGGATGGGCAGTTTTACTTACTTGGCTGCTCCAGCAATGGAAAGGAGCCAGGAAAGTCATGAGGTGGACAGTCAGTCTGCCTGGATTTTACCACTCAGGAAGTTCCCTCTGCAGTCTGGTGCTGGCCATTCCTTAGACTTCTCTGAGGCTTTTTCCAACAAGGTGTTCAGGCCTTGCCTTACTAAACTTTCCATTTGGCCTCTTACCCTTTTTATTTTTATTTGGGTCCTGGCTGACTGCCTGAATGTGTTCTTCTTTATAGCTGAGTGAGCTGCAATGTTGGGGTTCAAATGGACAGAACTGGCCCACTGTTGTATCCTCAGCCAAGAGCAGAGGGTACTGACCTGTAGAAAGGCAGGCTGGAATTCTTGGTACAATACTGCCATCAAGAGAAAAATGTTCAAAGGACCTTCCAAGAATCTCCTGTACTTCTCTGGGGGAGGAGTGGCTTGCAAGGAATTGTGAGTAAACACAGGACTGAAGGTGAATAGGGAGTTCAGAGCTCTCAGGAAACAGATCTAGAGAAAAACATTCTTAAAATTCATTTGGAACCGGAAAAGACCTAGAATAGCAACAGCAATTCTGGGCAACTTGCCACCAAAGGCAAGGCAAGGGGCATCACAATCCTTGACCTGAAATTATACTACAAAGCTACTGTGATAAAATCAGCATGATACTGGCAAGAAAACAGGCCCAAGGATCAGTGGAACAGAATAGAAGGTGCAGACACATCCCCAAACACATTCAGCTATCTGATATTTGAGAAAGGAGCCAAACATGATCACTGGAAGAAAGAGAACCTCTTTAATAAATGGTGCTGGAAAAACTGGCTCTCCACATGCCAAAGACTAAAACTAGAACCACATCTATCACCATGCACTAAAGTCAAAGTGGATCAAATATCTAAATATTAAAACAGAAACATTAAATTTACTGGAAGAGAAAACAGGCAGAAATCTCGAAGGCATAGGTGTAGGCAGACTTCATGAACAAAACTCAGACTGCAAGGGAAACAGTACAAATAATCAACAAATTGGATATCACCTTATTAAAAAGCTTTTGCACAACAAAAGAAATCATCAAAAGAGTGAAAAGACAACCCACAGAGTAGGAAAAATTATAGCCATTTATCCTCTGTCCCATTTAAATGGAACAGTAGACCTTCAACTGACCAGTAGCTCCTCTGGCTCATGGATCACAGATGGGTGAATGGGAAGCAGACACCTTCACTCTTGCTATAAATAGATCTTGTGCATTGACTTTCCAAGGACAAAGCCAATCATGCCAGGATATAACAATATCTCAACCTAGTTGGACAATGACTTTTAGGTGGACAAAGACAATATAACTACCACACACACCCTCATTGTGTCAGAACTTGGACTCTGTATGCTGCCTCACAGCCAGTTAAACTTCATAGAAGAGAAGGATGGAAATTGGAAAACAAAAGCCTAATATCTAAATGGAAGGGACAGTATAAACCAGCTGTGCCCTTGCTTCCAGTAAGAAGCAGGGGTACATTCTAAGCAGTTGTAGGAGAGGAAATGGACAGGATCTAGCACGACTCTGAACCTGCACAGACATGCAAAAGATAGAGAAAGTGTGTTTTATGAAGTCAGCAAAATGCAAACGTCTGTTGGATGTGAGCTTCTTGGAATCAGGGAGAAGAGCAAAAGTAGACACACTTCTGGGTTTGCTTCCATTAGCACTGGACGTAGGAAACAAACACACAAGGAAAAGTTACATCTTGTTCCCATTGTTGGGAAGGTTAGCAGGAGGGGTGGAAGGCAAAGGGACAGCATGGGTATGGGTATGATCATTGTTATGGCTAATATCTAGATGCCCTCCCAAAACCTCATGCCCTCACAGGTGGGGCCTTTGGGAGGTAACTGGATCATTGGTATATGATGCTAGACCATGAGTGTATGATACTGGATCAGTTCACTGATGGGTTGATAGCTGGGTATGAGCTGTGGGAAGAGGTGAGTCACTGTGGGCGTGACCTGGAAGAGTACATATATATGCGTGTGTGTGTGTATATGTGTATATATATATATATATATATATAAGGTAGAATAAATGCTCTCTTGATGCTGCTGTGCTTTCTGTCTTCCATATCCCTCTACCATGCCATCCTGCCTTGGAGTCAGTCAACAAGAGCCTGAAACCTCCACAAACTGTGAGCCAAAATAAAGCTCTCCTCCTTTAACTTATCAGTCTTGGGTATTTTGTCCCAGCAATGAGGAAGTAACTAACTAGTATCACTTATAACATTAAAGGCTATAGCTTTGGACAGAATATCCACAGTGGCATCTCTAAGGCACTTATGGGAAAAAGGAAGAGAGGAATGTATGTATATATGTATATATATGTATATATATATATATATATACATACATGTAAACAATGTGTGTATGCATGTATGAATGAATGAATGACTAAATTTATAATATGTGAAAAGCTGAGTTTAGAACACTATCTCACTTTCATCTGGATCTTCTTGGAACTGGTGGTAAGACTACAGACCCTCATCAAAATCACCTTGTTGTGGGGCTGGGGATTTAGCTCAGTGGCACAGCGCCTGCCTGGCAAGCGCAAGGTCGTGAGTTCAATTCCTGGTACCAGAAGAAAAACAAACAAAAAACCAAAATCACCTTGTTGTGTGGAGCCACTGGGCCATACTCTTAACTTATGAACCCCCCCAAAGCTGAGGAACAAAATTGAAGCATCTACTTGAGACCCCTGGGGATGATTCAGGATATCACCTCCTTTTATTCTGACCTGATATGGGCCCCACAAATTCCTGCTGCCCTCACAATGTTCTTCTCCCTCTTATGATGCTGCTCCTCAGCAGGATAAGGCTGCTGCTGGGCTCTCTATTGGCTCCCCTAAGGACAGAAGGTAGACAATAGCATAAGAATAAGTGGGGAAACACAGGTACTTATTCTACCTTAAGCTATCAATTAAATTCTCTATGCAAGCAACCATTCTATCCATATGAATTCAATTCATACAATATCTACAAGTGTGCCCTGAATACTGTGGAGTGGTAAACACAATATTCAGACTTAAAACTCATAAGAAAGATGAAGTAGCAATGAGTACACAGATACATCTGTTCCTTTTGGTGTTTTCCCTTACACATTTACATTCCTCACAGAGAGTCTAAGAGAACTGAACATTGGCAGAGTTGGGTCTCCAAGGAAGGGTTGTGTGTCCAGGAATACACATCTCATTCCTGGCATTGGTAAACATGCCTGATAGATTTGGACCTTGGAGAGATGCGAAGAAAGGGTGCTGGTTCTGGGTGCTCAGAGAGGAATGGAGTGGGCACTTCTGAACTCAATAGTGACTTCATCATTGTCCTTTTTCAGGACAATTGCTATTTAATATTAATAAAATACCTCTTGGATCTGAGAAACTATTGTGAAGATAACAACAAGTAATACAACAACCATTGTTGATTTCCTATTATCTTGTTTGAAAATTCTGTATTGTTTTTATAGTTTTTGTGCTGTTTTGTTTTTGTCATTTCGTTTTTGTTCTTTTTAAAATAAAAAAATAAAAATACTTCTTGGACAGTCACTGTGTAATCCAACAAATTAGGGAAATTCAGGTATGTTGTAGGCATATTTGGAGGCTTTGTGACATATTTTGAATCACTCCACACAGCACCTCTCTTCATTTATTTATTTAGGTACTGAGGATAGAACAGAGGCCCTTGAATATGACAGGCTGTACCACTGTGCTGCAAACTCTGAGCCTTGTTGCTTTTTATTATTATTTTTGAGATGCAATATTTGGATATTCTCATGTAGAATGCTACAATAATTGAAACATGTATATAACATGTAATATTCTGAACCTTTCTTGATTCCTAGCTCACTATACAAGCTTTGGTCTGTAAGCTGGACAGCCAGCAGTAATGGAAGCCAAGAGCCATTTGTGCTCATTGTCCTTAGGTTCCAGGAGCTGTGGGGAAAGTGAGAAAAGATAACGGGCCAAGCAATGGCTGCAACTAGGGGGTAGAACCCAAAACATGGTGAATAGGCTCTTCTTAAGAGCCTATTCAGAAACTGAGGGAGATGTCTTTGCTTGCCAATGGGCATGAGACAATATCCCCACAGCCCCATTACTGGACTCCTCAACAGGAGCTTCTGCTTGGGCCACTCATGCAGAGGGTGGCCTGGGACCATTTCTTTTGTTACGCCTGGGACCATGGCTTTCCTCCATCCTAACACTCCCCAGGAGGCTGCCACAGGGAAGTAAGTTTGGAAGTGAACAAAAAGTTCTCCTGATGGCAACGTTGCACTAAAAATGATAACATACCCTCCTTGTTCCTCCCTTTATGGTCTCCCTATGGCATTTTCTATTGAAAAAAGCACCAGTGTTTATCTTGGCTGAAACCTAAAATATGGGTGCTACCAGGTCTCTCATCTGTTCCTCCATGCTACAGGGCCTATTCTCTGGATGGTAGTCTTAAGTGTCAAGGCTGGCAAAGATTATTCTCTTTTTTTTTTTTTTTGGTTTTTCTCTGGTACCGGGAACCGAACTCACGACCTTGCGCTTGCCAGGCAGGCGCTTTGCCGCTGAGCTAAATCCCCAGC